AATTAAAGAACCTCTTAATGAGGGTGAAAGAGGAGAGTGCAAAAAATGGTCTGAAGTTCAACATCAAAAAAACTAAGCTCATGGCCACTGGCCCCATCACCTCCTCGCAAATAGAAGGGGAATATATGGAGGAAAGCGATGACAAACCTTGACAGCATCTTAAAAAGCAGAGATTTCACTTTGCTGATGAGGGTCTGCATATTCAGAGCTATGGCTTTTTCCGGTAGTGATGTATGGAAGTGAGAGCTGGACCATAAAGAAGGCTGACTGCTGAAGAATTGATGCTTTTGAATTGTAGTGCTGGAGGAGACTCTTGAGAGTCCCTTGGACTGGAAGGAGAACAAACCTATCTATTTTGAAGGAAATGAACCCTGAATGCTCACTGAAAGGACAAATCCTGAAGCTAAGGATCCAATACTTTGGCTATCTCATGGGAAGAGAAGACTCCCTGGAAAAGACCCTGATGTTGGGAAAGTGGGAAGGCAGGAGGAGAAGGGGAAGCAACCAAAATGAATTTGACCCAACTCCGGGAGGCAGTGGAAGACAGGAGGGCCTGATGTGCTGTGGTCCATGGTGTCACGTAGAGTCGGACACAACTTAATGACTAAACAACAACAAGAAGGCCATCCTGGCCTCTGGGGCAGTGCATTTCAAAGCCTGAGAGCAGCCGCTGAGATGGCCCCTCTCTTGTGTCCTCTTGCTGAAGGAGTTTGAGAAGATGATGGGACTAAGAGAAGGGCCTCTCTTGAAAGGCTGAGAAGGCTTGTATGGAATGATGCATTCCAACTCCGGGAGGCAGTGGAAGACAGGAGGGCCTGATGTGCTGTGGTCCATGGTGTCACGTAGAGTCGGACACAACTTAATGACTAAACAACAACAAGAAGGCCATCCTGGCCTCTGGGGCAGTGCATTTCAAAGCCTGAGAGCAGCCGCTGAGATGGCCCCTCTCTTGTGTCCTCTTGCTGAAGGAGCTTGAGAAGATGGTGGAACTGAGAGAAGGGCCTCTCTAGAAAAGCTGAGAAGGCTTGTATGGAATGATACATCTCTTTAAATAGTCTGGACCCATGTTTAATTTTATTTTGATGAGGTATTGCTGTAATACCTTCAGCTTCACTCATTCTCTGCACTACTTCCAGTTGCCTTTGAGATAAAAATAGAATGTTGGCTACTTGTACTGAATATAAGTAGCCAACATTCTATTTTACTAAAATATGTTCATGAGATTGTGGGCAATGCCAGTTTAACACATTTTATCTTAACTGCTTGCACTTGTAACTGTTTGAGAAGCAAGAGGTTTTGCAAAATAGAACCAAGCTTAACAGTGGATTCATTTATTAGCCTTTCTGAGACAGAACCTAACTGTATTGTGCACAGGAAAAGGTTGTTGTACCTTATTTTTCTGTTCTCCCATGGGCAACTGAGCACTGGGGTCTATTGAAGCTTGTATCCTAAGAAGAATACCTTGTAGAGGTCCATATCCTATGTTTAGCCTATCTAACATTATTTATTACAGTACAGCAGCACAGACAACTATGGGTAAATGTAGGTATATGTGGTGTGGGAAATTTTTCACAGAAAAATCGAGTATAGCATTCAATGTAAAAGACCTGATTTTGTACAAGCTGTTAATGTTGCCAGTCCAGAGACACTGTACAAGTACTGTATTCAGTCATTTCCTCCTTAATGAACCTCGAGTATAGCATTCAATGTAAAAGACCTGCTTTTGTACAAGCTTTATAGGCTTGCACAGTTCCCACACTTGGCTTTAAAGAACATATGAAGAAATTTTCAGAAGCATCTCTGAATGCAGCCCATTCTGTACTGCACAAGCTAGCTTCCTGTCTTTATGTGCAGTGGAGCTCATTGTCCCATTACCAGTATTGAGGTAAGTCTCCTTACCAACCTGGTCTCTGTGCCTGGAACATCTGATCGTTTACCTCAGGCTGCGAAATGGCTTGTGTCATTCCTGAGCTGCTTCTGTTTTGATGGCTGTTAATGTTGCCAGTCCAGAAACACTGTACAAGTATTCAGTCATTTCCTCCTTAATGAACATTTTGGTGAAAGCAAAGAAAATGGAAGACACAGGGAGGAGACACGAGTTATAAATAGTAGACTGCAGCAACTGGATTACCTGTAAATTTCCATGAGCAAAATAAGACAGTTGCATAATTAAAGTCTTGTGTGGAAGAATTTTTTCGTCTCTATTAGGAGACATGTCATTGAATTCAGTGGAATTTGTTTTCAGGATTGGGGCTACTTTTTACAGTTCAAATCTAGTAGTAAATAGCAACAGGAGTAGATCTACTAAATTCCTGACATGGTGATGCACACATATGTAAATGCAATTGATTTGATGAGCCTTCTATAGTTGTCATTCTGTAGTGGATCTTAGCCGTTGGATATCTGTTGCCTAAAAATTATAAACCCAAAACATCAATGCATATTTTGTGCCCTATGTAAGTTATCAGTTATAACAAGAACAGATGAGAGAAAAGAGTTCAGATAGTGGGGCTCTGATTTAAAGGCCTAAGATACTGTGGTCTTGCCAAAGCTTAACAAGTCTGGATTTGCCCAGAGAAGGATGTCAGGGTTTTTTTTAATTAATACTGTGCATGATGCCATAAGTTATGTTGAGGAAAATCAAAACAGTACATAAACATTTGGAATTTTTAAAAGAATTAACTTTGTTTAAAGCGGGATGTGGTAGCGCTGCGGGTTAAACTGCAGAAGCCTCTGTACTGCAAGGTCAGAACGCCAGCAATCGTAAGATCGAATCCACGCGACGGAGTGAACTCCCGTCGCTTGTCCCAGCTCCCGCCAACCTAGCAGTTTGAAAGCATGTAAAAATGCGAGTAGATAAGTAGGTACCACCATGATGGGAAGGTAACAGCGTTCCATGTTTAGTCACGCTGACCACATGACCGTGGAAACTCTCTCCGGACAAACGCTGGCTCGACAGCTAGGAGATGGGGATGAGCATCATGCCCTAGAATCGGACACGACTGGACTAAATGTCAAGGGGAACCTTTACCTTTACTCTGTTTTAAAAAAATCTTTTTTTAGGATTACTTTAATTCATGGGACATGCTTGTACCCATTTGGTATGTGTGGTAGTCCCCAGGATTAGCTTTGAGCAGCACAGCTCTACAAGTTGCCCTGACACCATTCAGGCTATGTTGAATTGTATAGTGGTTGCTGTACTTTTTCTTCACGTATGAGACAAAGACAAAACCAATAATAAGGAAATACAAAAAAATCTTGTGGCTGCTTACTGCCCCCCATTGTTTTCACAGCCAGAATGGGGCTGGCATTCTCTTAGGCAGCTGGGAATTTCAACAGGCTTGTGAATTTTAGCTCTAATGGGCCAGTATATGTTATACCTAGCAGTGAGCCTTCTGGCACAATCTGTTTTCAGCAGGCTATGCAACACTTGGGTTTGATCTGCAAATCGGAAAGATTTGATGGCCTGCCATGGATGGCCTAACTAGAATTGGTGTTTCAATCAGAGACGTGAATAACACAGTTATTGCCATTGTAGTTACAGAGCAATTGCTGGCTGCTTCTAAGCAGGAGTTTATGCAACTTAATGAAAGCATTTGTTATTTGGTGGCAGCAGTTATCTTCTTCCCTCTAGGTTTTGAATTGCTTCTTTTTTTCCCTTCCTTGTTTTGGAGGGCTGATGCTGCAGGTGGTGAGTAAAGTTATGTTCCAAAAATGGAAGATAAAGCAGCTGAAGTGCGAATCGAAAATGAGAGCACGAGGAGGACATCAGAGTCACGGATAAAGGGCTTCTTGCAGAGATAAAGCAGAACCAGGACTGAGATTAGAAAAAGATTTTCGAAAGCTGCTTCAAGCATCAGTGGTATGATCCACACTGCTATAAGGGCAATATCTGAGCTCAGGCAATTGCCAAATCATCTGTCGAAATTTGTGTGGGAATCCACATGGATGGTGGGCCCTTAGGAAGAATATGAGATCCCTGCAAGCTTCCCACATTTCCTCTAATTTTGACTCTTCTGTTCTTGGGAAATGTTTGAGGGTGTACCCTGTCTGTTGCAAATGCTACATCCACAATAGACATTGTTTAGGTATAGCTAATTATAGCAGAGTTGGCCTCATTCTTACCATATACTTCTGATATACACAGTTTTAGGCCTCAGCATCAGAATTCCTTTCCTTATTTGTAACATCTGTTGAAATCTATCATGTTTGCTCTCAAACAAGAACTTCAAGGCTAGGAATTTTCCTTCTTCTTCTTCTTTTTGACAAAACAAAGAATGACAAAACAAAGAGTGACCTCTATGTATCCCATGGGTTGCGTTTGAACAGAGTTAATTTAGATGAGTGTAGGATTGTAGCTGTTATTTCCAGTCCATACCAGTTAGGATATTTTCAAGCTATTTGTTTGCTTTCTCTTCTGTAGAAATTACTACAGCCTTCCCTGAGTTGGTGCTTTTCGGATACGTTGGGCTATTATTCACTTCAACCCAGCCAGTATGCCATGCCAGGGATGGCTGTGCGCCTAGCAGATGTACCATTCTGTTTTTGAAACTGTAGAGAATTATTTAACATGATTGCATTATTGACATGATTGAAAGACATGGGCTTTCAGAGGAAAATCTCTTGCCAGCCCCCCCCCCCCGTTGCGTAGCATTCCAAAATCACACATTGTCATTGCACAAGCAGAGGACTGGTATTCTTCATGGTGCTCACCACTTGCAGAGCAGCAACACTTGCACAAGCAGTGCTATCCCACATTCTTCTTCTGGTGAACTTTCTGCTCTATGGAAGCTCAATATGATGCTGGCAGGCTGTTTAGAAACATGTCTTTTACTATCATGATAGCTAAGCTGTTACTCAAAGATTTGATCTAAGCCACTCTTTTCTCTTTCTCCTATCTGTGTGCATGTGTACAGATATGTAGGACCTCTGAAATTCTAAGTGCACAGACAATTTTGCACATGGTACAAAGCTGCATAATATGTAATGATAAATACCAAACATTTTGTATTTATATCCAGGATGGAATTGATTTAAATCAAAAACATCAGATTTTTTTGACAATTTAAATAAAAAAACTAATTTTGCTTATAGTGTGATTTAATTCATGATTTAAATAAATTTTGATTTTTTTAAAAAAAATCAGATGTTTAGCTATCTGTATTAAATACAACATCCTACCAATTTGTATGACAATATAAGTGCTAGATACAGATCAGAATCCTATTGGGTTTGCCCAGTGTAAACTTACAATTCCATAAGTGTTGGGTATGACTGTTCTAGCTATCTGTTGTGTGGTCAGACATAATCCAAGCCATGTAATCAGTCCAGGTGCTTAACAGAAAGTGGTGCAATGACTTGTACAGTTTTCTTGACGTGCATACTGTTTTACAATTCAATTCACTTGTCTATATTAATCAAAGTGTCAACTCTCGGCATTTCAATTCAATTTATGTTTTGAAGTTTCAGCAACCATGACTAGGACAGAGAACACTCATACTCTTTTCAATTTGCTTAGGACATATGCCATAAGAAGAATAAGAGATGCCTTTAGAGAAAACAAACACATCAGGGATTCAGCAGAAATAGAAACTCTAGTGAGCAAAGCAAAAACTAATCTAGAAATTATTCGCCGACAGGTAAGCATGGTTTTATTAACAGTTTAAGTAAATGTGGTGTTGTATTGTTCTCTAAGCTTACAGCTTCAGTCTACACCTCCCTCCACCTTGAGATGGGAAAAGTGAACCCCATAGACTGTATGCAGTCACTTAAGCTCCTGTTTTTTGCAGCTCCCAGTGCCTCGAAACATGTGTCAGTGCTCCCCAGAAAAATTGTTTTAAATTGTCACTGCAGCTTGCTGCCAAAATTCAGCAGCAGACTGCTAAATCTGAAGTCAGACTTCCATCAGACAGTGTGCATGCTTTATTGTCAGTGTTATTTTAAGGAGTAAACATTAAGTGACCGCCCTCTTCCCAGGTATTTACCTGGCATTCCCATTATATAAACCTTGACTTGTTTGTTTTAGAGGATTAAGCCTTTTGTTATTTGAGGCTTAAGAGTTAATTTTTATTTTAGAAGCTTTCATGCTAGACTATTAATCATTGAAGAACCACAGAGCTGTGATTCTCAGTGGTTATGAATGTGCCATTTATATACTTTTTTAAAAGTCCCAAGTCCAAGAATTCTCCATTCTAGGAATTCTATCAGCCAGACCCACACCTAAATTATGCTCACTTGAATTTATTTATTTTATTTATTTATTGGACTTATATACCGCCCCATAGCGCTAGAATGTGCCATTTATATACTTTTTTAAAAGTCCCAAGTCCAAGAATTCTCCATTCTAGGAATTCTATCAGCCAGACCCACACCTAAATTATGCTCACTTGAAGAAAGACTGGGCTGGAAGGCTTCATGGGTAGGATAGACTGAGCTCTGGATTAGCTGCCTCTTTGAAAAGGAAGTTGTCCCAGGAAGTGAGTCAGTGAGTGAGTGAGTTTGTTTGTTTGTTTAACTTAGATGCTGGATGGAGTTACACTCCCTCTGAAAACACAGGTGTGCAGCTTGGGGCTGCTCTTGAATTTGTTTCTGAGCCTGGATGCTCAGGTTTCAGCAATGGCCAGGAGTGCATTTGCAATTATAAATGCCAGCTTTGCCTGTTTTTTCTGAGCCTGGATGCTCAGGTTTCAGCCATGGCCTGGGGTGCATTTGCAGTTATAAATGCCAGCTTTGCCTGTTCCTGGAGAGATCTGATCTGGTCATGGTGGGACAGGGCTTAGTTACATCCTGGCTAGAGTACTGCAGTGCACTCTATGTAGGGCTGCCTTTGGAAAGTATTTGGAAACATAAACATGTCCAAAACATGGCAGCCAGATTTTTAACTGGGGCTGGATACGTGGATCAGATAACTCCCCTGTTACAGCAGCTCCACTAGCTGCCAATACGTTTCTACCATGTTTCCCCGAAAATAAAACAAGGCCTTATATTAATTTTTGCTCCAAAAACACATTAGGGCTTATTTTCAGGGGATGTTTTATTTATTTTTTTCATGTACAACAATCTACATTTATTCAAATACAGTCATGTCATCTTCTTCTGGTTGCTGCACAATGGTGGAGGGTGGGGTTTCACTTAACTAGGGCTTATTTTTGAGGTATGGCTTATATTACGAGCATCCTGAAAAATCATACTGGGGCTTATTTTCAGGTTAGATCCTATTTTCAGGGAAGCAGCATAGGCTTAATTCAGAATGCTGGTGTTAGCTAATAAAGCCCAAATAGCTTCAGTCCAAGCTATCTCAAATATCACAATTCCCTTATGAGCCTGTCTGGATATTAAGATGATGAGGAGAGGCCTTTTTCTCAGTCCCACCCCTCCTCTGGAACTCCCTCCCACGGGAGGACAGACAGGCCCCTTTTTGCTGTCCTTCCACAAGCAGGTAAAGAAAGACCTTTCTCTGTAGGCAGGATTTTCCCTTGGTGACTGGCCGCCTGAGAGGGGTATTTCAAATTGGATGGTTGGTGTTTTTGATGCTTTTATATGTTTTACTAATGCTTTTCTCTAACATTTTGAATACAATGTTTATTTAGTCCTTTTTCAGTATTTGAATGACTTACGGTTTTCAAATACAGTGGTGCCTCGCTTAACGAGCGCACCGTTTAACGAAGAATCCGTATAGCGATCCCTTTTTGGGGATCGCTATACGGATCAGCCCCAATCGCCGCACTCGCTTTGCGACGATTGGG